GTCTGAGAACTCCAGACAAAAAGGCATTTTTTTTTCTTTTTTTTGAAACAGGGTCTCATGTAGCATGTAGCTCAGGCTGCCCTGGAACTTGCTATGTAGTAGCATATTACTGTGGACTCCTAATCCTAATCACCTGCCCTCTGAGGGCTGGGGTGGCAGGTGTGGTTTCTGGGGCTAGGGATGAAACTGGGGCATCTTCTTCTTCTTCTTTTTTTTTTTTTTTTTTTTTGGTTTTTCGAGACAGGGTTTCTCTGTGTAGTCCTGGCTATTGTCCTGGAACTCACTCTGTAGACCAGGCTGGCCTCGAACTCAGAAATCCGCCTGCCTCTGCCTCCCAAGTGCTGGGATTAAAGGCGTGCGCCACCACTGCCCGGCGAAACTGGAGCTTCTTGAATGCTGGACAAGCAGTTCATCAGCTGAACCCAGACAGTCTTAGTGGTGTATGTCTGGAACCAAGGGCACCTTACAGATGAGGAGGCCGGAGCCAGCGAGCAAGGGAGGAACAGAGGGCTGCATTTGATTTCTTTTAAATCAAGAAGTTCAGTAAGCACATGCTGTAAGCCTGAGGCCTGAATTCAATGCCTGGGATACACATGGTGAAAAGAATTAGCTCCCACAAGTGTGTCTTCTGACTTCCACAGGCTTGCCACGGTGCCCTAAATCTCTCACAATACAAAATAAATCTAAAGAAAAGCAACAAAAGTAAAAACCACCTGGAGGCTGGAGAGATGGCCTAGCACAGGCTGAATTCTCAACAACCCCAGGCAGTGAAGTATGACTGTAACTCCAATTCCAGAGGATCTGACACCATCTTGTTGCTCCTGAGTGTGCTGCACACACGTGACACACAGATATAAGACGCAAACAAAGCCGGGCGGTGGTGGCACACGCCTTTAATCCCAGCACTTGGGAGGCAGAGGCAGGCGGATTTCTGAGTTCGAGGCCAGCCTGGTCTACAGAGTGAGTTCCAGGACAGCCCGGGCTACACAGAGAAACCCTGTCTCGAAAAACCAAAAAAAAAAAAAAAAAAAAAGACAACTATACAAAAAATATATATAAATAACGGGCTGGAGAGATGGCTCAGTGGTTAAGAGCACTGACTGCTCTTCCAGAGATCCTGCCTGAGTTCAATTCCAAACAACCACATTGAAGGCTCACAACCATCTATAATGGGGTCTGATGCCCTCTTCTGGTGTCTCTGAAGACAGCTACAGTGTACTCATATATATAAAATAAATAAATCTTTAAAAAAAATTTAAAAATTTTTAAAAAATTAAAAAATAAAAATAACTAAATCCAAAAAAAAAAAAAGTAGCCAGGCAATGGTGGCACATGCCTTTAATCCCAGCACTCAGGAGACAGAGGCAGGTAGATCTTTGAAATTGAGGCCACCCTGGTCTACAAAGCAAGTTCCAGGACAGCCACAATAAATAAAGCACAAGTTCTGGGCAAGCCTGGTCTACTATTGAGTTCTAGAACACATAGAGCCACATCAACAATAAAACCAAAAAAACAAAAACCAAAAACCAGGGGCTGGAGAGAGAGCTAATGTTAAGGGCACCGGCTGCTCCTATGGAGGTCCTGTATTTGATTTCCAGCACCTGCACGTAGGCTCACAACCATTTGTAACTCTGGTCCCAGGGGACCCAATGCCTTCTTCTGGCCTTCAAGGGTACAACATGCACCTGTTGTTGCACAGACATACATACAGGTAAAACATCCATACACATAAAATAAATAATAAAAAAAATTGAAGAACAAAATCTGGCAGTGGCAAGAACTTGTAAACTCAGAGCCAAGGGAGGTGGAGACTGGGGATTACTGGCCAGCCAGCTTCGTCTAAGTGAGGCTGCCCCAGGCCACCGAGAAACGCTGTCTCAAGAAAACAAGGTAAGACAGCTGTGGTAGAACACACTTTTGAGCCAGCTTGGTCTACACACCAAGACACAGACAAAGGTAGATGGCTATGTGGATGGATGCTGAAGTCTGCAGGCACACCTGTGTGGGGAGCAGGCCAGCAGCAGAAAAACCAAGCGAGGTTCAGTGAAGGATGCTATCCCCAAAGTAAAGTGCTGGGCTCCACACAGAGCTTGGTGGCTGAGAACATGTACTGGCCTTGCAGAAGACATGGTTTGGTCCATAAACCCACACGGGGCAGATCATAAGTCCCCCTCCAGCTCCAGAGGGTCTGACATCCTCGTCTGACTTTCAAAAGGACCTGCACACACCTGCACACGCCTGCACACACACAGACATTCAGATCCACACATATAAAATAAAGTAAGTCCTTATCTGGGAAGATACCTCAGAGGTAAAACAGCTGCCATGCGGGCTTAGGGACCTCTTATCATCCACAGAACTCATGGTGGAAGGGAGGAACCAACTTTCTAAAGCTGTTTTTTTTTCCCCCCGAATTTGCACTGTGCCCAAAGTCACACCCAGACCTCACACAATATTAATAACAATAAAAGCTGGGCAGTGGTGGTGCACGCCTTTAATCCCAGCACTTGGGAGGCAGAGACAGGCGGATTTCTGAGTTTGAGGCCAGCCTGGTCTACAGAGTGAGTTCCAGGACAGCCAGGGCTACACAGAGAAACCCTGTCTCCAAAAACCAAAACAAAACATAAAAAACAAAAACAAAAACAAAAAACAAAAAAAAACACAATAAAAATACAATAATATTTCATTGCTTTTTGGTTGAGGCATGGTCTCACTGTGAAGTCGTGGGTGAACAGGAACTCACTATGTATCCCAGGCTGGCCTCAAACTCAGAGATCCACCTGCCTCTGCTTCCCAAGTGCTGCGATTAAAGGTGTGTGCAACCATGCTCAGCCATACACACACTAATAAATAAAACAAACAAGGAGGGAGAGCAATAGAGGAACATGCACATTCTTATTTCTGTTTACACACACACACACACACACAATATACACACAACATATATACATGCATACACACACAACATACACA